AGGAACCTAACAATTTGTCTGAAGATTTCGAAGTAGATTAGACAGAGAAAGAGCCTTACAGCGCTCAGTCATTCCAAGAACGCAATATTTTCTTCATTAATGAATTTTGACTGCAAGTCGTTTAAAGGGTTGCAAGTCCATTGCTGCATAAAAAATACTTGACTCTTGTAAGGTTAGACAACCTCCTGGAAAGGATAATTATGATATTCTTCTCTAATGGTTACTATTTTGGGACTGCGGACGTAATACCACCATCTGAGCACAGTTGCACGTCCTTAAGGGAGCGATCGCGGCAAGTCGTTTTATCCACTTCGTTGCGTATTACTACTTTTGTCAAGCAACCATCTTAGTAACTTTGGTTTAAACTTTGTTGTAACTCTGTCGGACAGCCTGGTCTTGACAGCACGTTAGTAGCACCGAGTCCTTCTCTACATCAGGAACACCCATTCCTAGTAGTGTGTTCTCCCTCTCCCCCTCTTTCTTGGAGAAGTCTCGAGCAGCTGTCCGTTATACTGCTATATCACCGATCTGAAGGCGAGTATTATCAAACCCACTTACTGTGTTCCTAAATTATCACATAACTTTCCTTTAAGCCCAGGTCTACTAGCAGTTCCGCTATTTTAAGTTCATCACTGGATGTCAAAATTGTCCGCCTGAATGGCAGTGCAGTAATTGTCGCGACGTGATCATGTTTGTCGGTTCAAGTGTTTGCACTGGGAGGACCATTTAGTAAATTATTCGCGTTCAACTTGTAGCAAAAGCAAATTCAACGTTTGACCAGAGTAGCGCCAAGTTGATGCAAAAGTTACCCAAGCACACCGAACGCGACCAATCACTTGCATTTCCCTCTGAAAAGACAATTAATTTGAAAGTATTGCATGCATTAAATGGGTTGAGACTTGGTCGCAAATTGCTCAGTGTGAGCATTCTGGGCATCAAAACAAAGTGATCCTTTTGTTAGCATTGCAAAAGCTGGTCATTTGTTTCCAAAATTATTTTCTATTCATGCATACAACTGGGTTTGCCAATCAAAGAGGTGACCCCCTACCGTTGACAACGTCAAGACGGCATACATAAAAGGGGATATCAACTGTTAATACACGCTTTTGAGAATAATAGTGCAGGAGCCTAAGGACAAGTCATTAAAAAGCACTTCTATTGAAAGACTGCTGCCTCACAATAGTTACTCGGGGCGTTTGTGTTAGTTTACTTGAAGTATTTGGCTAGTCACTTAGTCATTTTTGGCTTTTAATCCTTTAAATCTTTGCATTTAATTCTCTTTTCAATAAATTGGTGTTTTTGATATTGTTGAGGCATGGATAAAAGACACAAAAGTCCTCACTCAACTCTGTAATCCACCTTACAAGATCATTGCATTCGAGCCCTTCACAAAGGCTTCGGCGTGCCCAATTACTGCACTTAACATGGCGTCTATGGTATATTTATGTACTATGTAGCACATTATATACCCCAAGTTAGTGAGTATAAATTAAAAATAATTTTAGGAGTAGGGAAGTCGACATCTTCGATCTCTTTCTGTACAATTGGTTCACTTTGAAGGCGATATGTTGGTGAGTTTGAGGCATTTCAATGGTCTCATAGTGGTGCCCCTAGACTTTAGTAAAACAAAAGAGGACACAATTCCAGGAAGATGCAGACGTTCGACATGTGGAAGAGGCAGAGGCCACTGACATGACCACCACCTCTGCGCCCTCCGTGAAGGTAAGATGACCTATCAAGGTCTTGCATCCGCAATCCCAATTAAAGCAAACATGTAAAGTATTGCTTTACGTTGTTTCCTGTCTCTCTCTTTGGCCAGCTTCCTATACCACCCATCTAAAAGTAGTTGCGGCCGAATGCTCCAAAGTATCATCCAGTTTGGGGGCTAGAAGAGCTCGTGGTCATGATGCGTGCTCATAGGCAATAGGGGGAATGCGGATTTAAAGCGAAGTTATCTAAGAAGGCTGCTTCCTCCTGCCGACTTTGCTCTTACTTTAGAGCTGCTCAGTCATATGCCTATCTGGGTTCAATTTTATCCGGTAGAAGGGTGAACGGGGCGTCTCGACCTCATCTTGTCGATATATTCACACAGGTATTGTAAGAAGGCTCTGCGCCAAGACTTTGCGAATGATCTATGATCGGTGTCAGGACTGCGGTATATGCTAAAAGTTGATATCATTTTCAATCCGTCTGTTCGAGATCTCCAATTACACGCACTCCTTCTCCACTGCTCAGGCCAAGACAGATATGCATTCAAGTGAGGTTAACTTTTCCCACTACCAAAGCACCCTTCTGTGACTTCTCGGAAACCAGACGAAGACGTGGTTCTTGGCCAAACTGTATACATTTGCTATGCACTAAGGCCCAAAAGTCACCCCATTAAGCAAGGGTACAGTGGTCAACTAAGTGCCCTTAATCGAAACGAAGAAATCAACAAACATCAAAAGTATTGCCAATTCCTCTCTCCTTTTGGCCGTTGTAACTGTCTTTCCTTTGCAAATTGACCTTAGTTTTTTGAATGACCAGCGCTCATGTAAAGTCAAGAACTGGTGAGCTTGATGCCTTACACAGACCGAATATTCGCTTGATCGGTTGCCTAATCTCACGGACGCTTCCGTCGCTTGGATTTAGACGTCCCTTGGCCCTTACCCGTGCTAACAGTAGGCTATCTTCCCTACCGTTTTAGAAAGATCGTCACCTCCATTAATTAGGCTCACAATTAAAACAATACTTCATGGAATGCAGCGTCATGCATGGTGTAATTCTACAAAGATTCGTTAACTTTCCGTAATTACTTTATATTAATTAAAAAAGCATGTGACATTTATTTGATAACGATAAATATAAGGAAATGTGAGGAAAAAATGTGGGTAACACCTTTTTGTATTTCCGGTAACTAAGGGCATGGCAACAGCATGAGGATAGGCAGACAAGGAGATGGAGTTACAACTTTTGGTTTTCTGGAGGCCCAAATTGGTAAGGAAATGTATTTCCCCACGAAGGAGGATGGAGGTGTAATACTTTGTTTATGTGAACATTTGACGTTTGGCAGTCACCTTAGGATTTGTCTGGCTCTTGTACTCGTGGGCTGGCCTTCGGGCCATGCTCAGCCCCGTTGCTTTGTCTATTTGGAATACATGTATCCAGTTTCACTTACTGCCTTCTTCCACCCGGTGGGCAGTCTCGGGACGCTACAATAGGCTCTTCCTTTCTCAACTTGGATCATAAAAGGTCTATCCACTCAAAAATTAAGGGATTAAAAGATTTTCACCTCTTTAAGCGCTTTTAAAGAACTTCAGCGGATAATCTGCAAGAAAGCGCAACACAGTGAGTTAGTGCTTTTCTGTTCGTATGGGAACCCCAATACTGTGCTTTTAGTGTTTCCTCCCACACTTATTTCATTCTGGAAAAGTCATTATACGATACCAGTTTTGTTTTAGTGTGCTTCTGAAGTAGGAAGCGGGAAGACGAAGCGTGCCTGCCATCCGACGAGGCCGTCATGGTCTTAAGATTTCAGTTTAGGTTCTCCAAGCTTCTGCGTCTCTTCAGGTCGCGACGTTGCCCATTAAACTGTCTTATGTTCTAAGCATATGTTTATGTGTATACATTGTGTTTTATGCATTCGATTACCTGTTTGGGTGACGATCAATTTGGTGGCCGTCAGGCCTCCGCCAATAGATCCGGATCAAGTTTTCTATCTTCTGCACCTACGGGAAAGTCTCGGAACGCTGCAGACTACTCCGTAGTTTTGGGATTTGTTGCACAAAACAAGCTCGAATAGAGTTAGCAGCCGCAGAAATAGCAAAGTGTTTCAATAAAATTTGGTAAGGCCACACCATGAGGGGAAATGCTGCGGAACCAAGCTTTTGAACAAGGGAAATAACACATTGGTTATTCAAATATTTGTAGAACTGGAATTCATTTTGGCAATCATCTTGCTATTGTCTGCATGGACTAGACTTCTTGTCAAGCCAAAGTCTAACCTTTTCCTCTTTACCCTGGATACAATAAACCCATTTTACTGACTTCTACCTAATGGGAAGTCTCAGGACGTTACATTAGTGGTAGCAGAATACGGGGTCAACTATGTTACGGCTTCTGTCTAAGTTTACACAGTTTGTCACAGTCTTCTAGAGTGCGAATGAAGGCCATGTACCTCCAGCGGGCGAATCTTTCGCCTCACAACTGAAGGACTAAGAACGGCATTTGCCCATTCGCGTGTTTCACATACAGTCTCAAGCGACGCCACCGTAAACAGCATAAAAAGTCTAAGTTATGGGTTTCCCTTACCATACTTCAGTATGAACGTCGACTGCTCGACTCCTACCGCAAAAATTTAGTTTATACAGGTGTTTCGAAGTACAACTTTGAATAAATCGAACTCCAACAGATGCTTCCTTTTCCGCTTATTTTGGCATTCAAATCGGTTGGAAAACAGGTGAAACCAAGAATGCCGAGATGGTCAAAACCGTTCACGCATTCTCATAGGAGATAATGATCAACGCGTCTGCTTCGCGGGTGCTTCCTTGAGGTACCATAAATGTAGTAATCGGCTGGTGCTAAAGGTGTATAAAGGGATGTGCGGTACATGCCGCTTAAAAGAAGAGGGTATAGAATTATACTTTTCTATGCGGCTACCTTTATGAATGGTAATGAATTTGCGGTTCTTCTTGCTATTGGCTGAGTTGGGTGGGCTTCGAGACTTGGCCTAGGATATTTTTGGAGTTTACAAGTGTAGCGCTCATCATCGGACATAAAAAATTAATTCAGTGAGAAGAAGCTCTGGCTACCATTTTACCCAGTAAGAACACGCAGGCCATAATTACTAGGCCCCAAGCTAAGACCTTGCCCTTAAGCATTAATTTTAGTGCAAATTTGAATAAAAATTTTATGATTATTTATATTTGGTATAATTAATTTGTTTGTACTCTTTGAACAAAACCGGGAAGCTTGGATCTCTGTGATCCTCGTTTTTGTTTAGGGCGATGTTTTAGTGGAAGATGTTGTTGTCAAGATCTGTACTCCCTTTCTCACGGCTTACCTTAGTCTACCGTTTTTATCAACCATTTCGTGGGAAAAAGTATCATTACGCTCTTGAACCGAAGATCCTTCCCCCGGGTACACGGCTTGACATCAACGATCCCCTACTCTATAAGACCGTAGAACCGATTTCGAAGTGGCGGCACTCTGGCAAAAACTGGGATCCTATAGTTTCCAAAATGATGGGGATGATGTTATATGATGGTGATCGTGAGACAGCCCGTGAAGTGATGCGCAAAACCTTTGCAGAAATAAAGTTCATACAGGTATCCTGTGGTATACGGATTGGTTTATTTACAGATGGGTAAGCGTAAGAAATTGGTTGGAGCTGAGTTTGATGCAGTGGAGGTTAATCCCATTAAAATAATTAATCAGGCTGTTACTAATTGTTCCCCTCTTCTTGTGCTTCACTCTGTTCGTCGTGGCGGTTTTATCTATAAGGTATCATCTTCATTCTTTATTGTCATGTTAAGCAGTCGTGTTGAGTACTTGTGTTAATTTTTCTGTCTTAGGTTCCTGCTCCTCCACAAAATGAAACCGTCTCTCGACACATGGCAATTCGTTGGATTCTGGAGGCAGCCAGAAATAAGGATAAAAATATGAGGATTTGGGTTTCTCTTGCACATGAACTTATTAATGCTGCCAACAACGAAGGTGTGGCGATTAGCAAGAAGAGGGAACTTACGAAGCAGTGTGAGGAGAACCGAGCATACGCAAATTACCGAATTTACTAGCTTTTTCACATTTTTTCATAAACTCGCCTTAGCCTAATATATTATTATTTCATTGATCTCTGCTTCTCCTTATTTATTGGGGATTTTAACCGTGTGGACAAAGTTTTATGTCAGGACGTAGAAGCACTTGTTTGCTATTTCAGACACGATTACTCCGTGCGGTACGTTGTGCAGGCTGCGGTGCGTTATCTTGGGCTAGTCAGGTCTGGCGCTACCGGCACCATGCATCAATTATATCTGAGGAAAGTACCCGCAAAGTACGCAATGTTGGTCTCATTGCTCACATCGACGCAGGAAAGACAACCACCACTGAGCAAATGCTCTTCCTCGCTGGTGAGCTATTCTTATTTTCTTTTTGAACCTGAAATATATAGATTAAATATGAAACTGGTCATCTAAGTAGGTCGAACGCGTGCTGTGGGTGAGGTCGACAGAGGTGATACGGTAACCGACTACCTTGCAGAAGAGAGGGAGCGTGGAATCAGCATAATGAGTGCTGCTGCGTGCCTAACCTGGCGCCAGCACGACATTCACCTCATCGACACGCCAGGTCACGTCGACTTCACCTTCGAAGTGGAGCGCGGTCTCACTGCCGTCGACTCAGCTCTTGTTATTATCGACGCCTGTAAGGGTGTGGAGACGCAGACTCGCACCGTCTGGTGGGTCGTACTCCTCTTTTGTTCACTTCTTTTGTCTATCCTTACCCCTCACATCGTTCTTGGAATGCTCAGGTCTCAAGCAGATCGCTACCAGTTGCCAAGACTTGTCTTTGTCAATAAGATGGATCGTCCAATGGCAAATTTCAATAATTGCCTTCTTTCCCTTCATCATCGTTTCGGAGGCCCCTTCTTTCCGCTTCAGATGCCGGTCTGCATCGGGAAGGACCGTTTCGTCGGAGTCGTCGATTTGGTCTCTCTTACCCTTAAGGCACTTCTCTTTATTCCTTCTTATTCTTAGCATTGGTTATGGTTGTGCTAAGTAAATCAGTCACTAACCTCTACCCTTCTTTGACCAAATTGCTAACAAATATTTTGCTACGTCGTGCTTGTAGTAAGCTCAGGTAAGTTAATTGAATGGCATTTATTTTTTGCACGTAACTGAGCTTGTTCTTTACTTTTTTAGCTAGCTTCTCTATTATCTTACCTTCATTTTGCAGGTGTGGCCAACAACGCCGAGGCAGGATAGTCGATGTTTCTCTCAAAAGGATCTTCTTAAGTTTCTGGCTTCTAAAGAATTGCGAAAGTCAGAAGAATTGTCGGGTATTAGCTTTGCTGCAGTTTTACCCTTGGCGCTTAAAGCTCGAGGGCAGCTGCTCGCCTCCCTGGCAGAGTTGGACGATGCCTTTGCAAACGAATATCTCCTCCTCGACACTCCTGAAAGCCTTCTCCCTGCGGATGTTGTTCATGACTGCGTGAAAAGAGTGAGCGAACCGACTTTACCTTGGATCTTAACAACGTTTTTTCACGAGCAGTGCATTATGAATGTTATTGAATAGGATTGAATTTGTTCGCTTGTTCATTTCGGTCGTTTCACAGATTCTGATTTCCTACCTGCAAAATGACCGTGTGCAGCACTATTTGAGTCAAACAGCTACCAGGGCTCGACTGTTATTCTTGGAGAGCCAAGGTCAGTAAATACAATTTTTCAACTACGACAGCGCAATTCTTTGCTGCCAACATTGAGTGTTCAAATTGTTAATCATAATTTTCAGTGATGCTCTAGATAGATGATTCCCTATTTGAAAATGTTTCATTGTGCATAGTAGTTATGATTTTCGTTAATCTCTCTCTTTAAATAATCCCAAACCAACAGTATTTTTGTTAATCAACCTCCAGAATCAATCATTCGATTTCACTTTAGCTGCTCTTAACCTCAACGCTTCATTGAGGCCCATAGTTTCATCCTTAATCTTTCAAATATTCTGCAGTTTTTTACGTGGCGTTGTAAGATCTTGGATCTTAATATGACGTTTCTAGTCTTCACTTTGAAATGACAACTATCCCAAGTTCCAAAGTGCGATTTCCTTTCTATTCGTAGGTCACCATATCCTCTCGCGGTTTCCCAGTTTTACTGGGCAGTAGCCGTCGAAACGTTGGCATACAACCAATCCTAGACGGGATCGTTGATTATCTACCCGATCCCTCCCAACGCCCTCTGCCACCCCATGTCGCTAGTGTTCTAAGTCGGGTGCAACGTTCCACGCCCTCTGAGAGCCAGTCCTCGCCAATCCTCCTCACCTTCAAAATAATCTTCGACCCTCAACGCGGTCCGCTCTCCCTGACTCGCGTCTATTCTGGCTACGTCAGATCATGCATGCAAATTAGAAATTGGACGCGTCATGATTTGGATGATGCTTCCTTAGTCGAAAAAGTGGGTTTTATAGAAATGCCTATTCAATGATATTCAGTAGCATATCTACTTGAACCCCTACTTCAGATAGGGACCCTGTTACAGCTTACCGGAGACACTTACGAGATAGTTGATTGCGCGGGTCCTGGAAACATTGTGGCTTTGAGTGGCCTTCAGTCAACCAGAACTGGTGATATTCTTGGACCAGTGATATCAAGTTCTCCTGACTCTGAGGTGGATGAAAGAATGGATGCAGACGTTGATGATGCCTTTATACCCCAGCCGGTTGTCCATGCTGCTCTGGAACCCAAAAGCAGCTCCACCCTTCGAAATCTTGAGCATGCTTTGCAGTGCATGCAACGTGAAGATCCTAGTTTCAAAGTAATTCCTCTTATTTCTATGGAATCAGATCTTGTAGACTCGGATTTTTTTTGTCTAGATGAATTCGAGAGTTGAGAATGAAAGCTTCTACAGAACTGATGGAAAAGTGAAGATGTCTTTTAAAGCTTTATTGTTGCCTAACTTGTAGAATTTTTACATAATTTAGTTTTTTTTGTGATTATTTTGTTCCAACATTTGTTGTTGTTGTTGATCGAAAAGTTGACCTAAGTCCAGACTTTGTCATCTACTTGTACTAATCACTGCCCCATTACCGTATACTCCGAGCATTTAATCATTTGAAATGAGATACTTATGCTATCTGAATCTGGCAGGAGTTTTATGCAAGGAAAGTGGTACTTTTACGGCGATTTCCTTCGCTGTAATCGATGTCGTTATTTTAATGAAAGAAAATGTTTGTTCTTAATTTGGAGACCATTTCACAAAATTATTCATGAATTTTGCATCGATCAGATAACTGTTGTCAGCATTCCTCCAGATCGCCCTCAAGCAAGGAAACACTAATTATTTATTAATTAATCAGAAATCAGTACCGTTTGATCTTCTTGTCGAGGCGTTGGAGCATAACGTGGGCAGTGGATGACTTCCCAATAAGACGTATCCGTTTCCATATAAAGTTGGCGTCTCTGTCGCATGCCAACCGTCCACCTGTTTTTAACACTAAATAGATGTGCATATTTCCTTTGTAGCATTAAGGATGTAAAACTCTTGGCTCTACTTACTTAATGGGTCCCCATAAGAGCAGACAGTTGGCATTATTTCATGGCTCAAGATTTGCTTTCTCATCCTTTCTAATCGGACGGCGTTTGAGTGCCGTTGCTGCGATTGTCAAAACATCGTCACCAATGAATTTTTGGCTCCGTTTGCTTTTTACTCTGGAACTGTTTATGCCATTCGGATGTTCTTTATCTCTAATGCTCCCTAAGATCCTGTGCTAAAGTAATTTTTACATAGCTATAGCTGTACCTTTTCACGATTTTGATGTTTCTTCATTCGATTGGGCCAATTGTTTGACTAAATTTAGCGTTATGCGCTGTTAATTTGGCTACGTGGTCAGGGTCTTAAGCCTAAATTTACCTTCAACCCGGAAGCTCTAGCATTACTGTTGGTTTTGGAGGAAGTCACGGAGAAGTATTTAGTGGGCACCTTTTATTAGTGTTTTTTTGCGTTCTGACCTACTGAAAATGTCTCTCCGCGAACTTGAGCTGATTGCCCATTTCGTGGCTGTGCAAGTACCTGCTGTGATACATGGTTTGAATTTTCGGTCTTTAGCTATTGAAATAGCTACTATAAACTCATAAACTTCCAATTTCTTTGACATTTTGCGGGTAGGTTAACTGCAACGCTATACTAGCGCCGAGTTGAGTCGATCTCGCGTCTCCTTTGATTACACGCACACTTGTCAAACTCGGGCAACTGCAATAAAGTATTTTTTTTCCGCAGTTAAGTTACATGGACTAGTCGAGATTTTGGACAAACTCAGTTGTCTCAGGAATAATTATCTTTATTTGGATGTCAAAAATCGTCTATAATTGTTCTTTTTAGCATCTTCATCCCGTCTCCGTTTGTGCGTTTTTTGTTCATGTTTCCGCACATTATTCACATCAGTGTCAAGCAGTTGCTGTTATCCAAACTTTCCAATCATCAGCTCCACTCTTTAGTCTTCTTGCCTTCTTCCGCACCAGGCTACTTTTGACAAAGAAACGGGACAGTGGGTGGTGGCGGGGATGGGTGACCTGCATTTAGAGGTGATACTTTCGCGTCTGCGTCGGGAGTACCGACTGGAGGTGAATATGGGCTCTCTCCTCATTTCACATAGGGAGATGCCTGAGGCCGGTCACGAATGCTGCGGGACTGCCGTCTCCACAGGTTTGTTTGTCTGCTCCTTTGTGCTTCTTTGAATAATGAAGATGGTGACGCAGTTAGTTGATTTCTTTTGATTGCTCTTTTGCGCCTTCATCACTTGTGATTTTGCCTTTCGAGTTACCTTTGGGGATGTAAGACATCTTGATCTGGTCATAATTTTATCATAAACCCATACGGCAGTTGGGCGACTTGGTATACCATGCGAGCAAGCAATGTATAAACACCATATTTCGTTTAAGGCTAGATGATATTTGTAGCGTGCCTCTGAGTCTCCTCCCTCCTCCCATTGGTTTGGTTCTATTTCGGAGTCGTTCACAATTTCTTGAGATTTGGGAAAGTTTCTAGTGAATTAGCAAGTGCATGGGGAATCGTGCGTATCGCTTCGAAGGCTGCTATTATTTATGATCTTTCTTCATTTATGTTTATGGTGCAGCTTTTTATCGTGGAATAATTGTCGAAAGTTGGTATGATTAAAACAGCCTCTCTTTTGTGAATTTTCTTAACCTTATTCATTTACGTCTGCATATTATTGGCCAAGGCATTCAGGGAAACTGGCCATTTGCCAAAGGTGTTGTTTTGGTTGAACCGGATTTTCAATTACTCACTCTTACCATTTCGAATGATTGAATCAGTCTAACTATCCGTTCATTCTTGACATCTTGTTCTAAAACCGAGATCATGTTTGTGGTGACTCCTCTTTCCATTTATGCATGAAACCCTAGTTCGAAAATGCACACTGACATGATGATGATGGGGTAATAACTTACTTTTTTTGCACTACAGAATCAAAATAGTTTATCAGGCGACTGAATGCTTCTTAGAAGTTATGGATGGGGAATATTTCATGGAATTTTAATTCTGTTTTGTTTTTTTTTCTCAAAGAACAAATCAGCGTGTGCATGAAAACTATGGAACGGATGTTTGCGAGTGTTTTCCAGTTTGTCTTGCATCTAAACTGGGTATGTGATAAATGAGGTGTTGGAAAAATGGCACTGTTCCGCGACAAATGTTTGCAGCGGACCTTAAGTCTAAACGTCTTTATTCCCACCCACTTTTGTGGCTCAATATTGGCTGGATTCCTTAATCTACATGGTCCCAGTTTAACGAGCCATTCTATAAAAGTACGCTTAAATGGAGCGAAAGTAAAATTCGCCGATGATGCAAATCTGGGGATTTTACCTGCTATTGAAAGGAATATACTTGCTCTGTTTTCGTACTCCAAACTGACTGAGAAAGCATAAATCGCATATGAAATGCCTGGGTGGAGCTTGTCTATGAATGCTTGTTAAGTTGGTCACATTATGTTTACTTATTGTCAGGCCTTAGTTTTGACCGTGGACGTCTCTGCCTGCGAAAGTTCAGTAAGACCAACACTGCTCCCAATGCGGAGATGGGCTCCACCCTCCAAGGCAAAATGGACCTTAATTGCCTTCTAGTTTGAGTACTAACTGCACTGAAGACACGATCAGGCACTAGTTTGGCCACTAGCATACCATTTCTGATGTATAAACATTTTTGAATTTTTGATACCGCTTTTGAAAATCCATATCTCCTGCAATTTATCTTTGTGCACAAATAATTAAGATTGTAAGCGTCAAAGAGTTTTTGTGCTGCATCAACATTGGCATCTGGTGGATTTATGCTGCTATATCATCGCTTGTGATCGGTGATCTCGCAGGATTATTTAACAGCAACGAATGTCCTGGAGAGCGCTTGACTGGAACGCTTAAACGGGTGACTCGGCCATTATTTATAACTCGTAATAAAAATCCAGTTAGTCATCCCGCTTTTTCTTGAATCGGACTTTCTGCATGAATGACAAAGATGTCTTTGGTGAGGAGACTTTTCTTGGTCTTCGCACCGCTCCACTCATGAAAGAGGGAAGGAGTGGAGACAGCAAAAGCACTGCACTGTAAAGGATCTGTCACCTTCCAGGTATGATTGGTGGACGACAAAGAACTATCTTCGTAGAGCTCGACGTCTTCTCTGATGGACAGACGAATGCTTCAAGTCGACTTCGGGTACGTGCAGGACACTGTGTTTCGAGGTGTTATTTATTTTTAGGAAAAATCTGTATGGTATTTTGTTAGGCGTCTTTTTGCGAGCCTTGCGAAATTATTTAGCTTCCCACCTTTAAGTCAATGCCTATCCCCATCGTGCGTTAGTGCGTGTTGACTGGTAGTGGATCAGGAAAGATCGCACCTTTCCCATGTCTCATCCTTTCTTCGGTGTCTTTTATTGCACCGATTCATTGTTAATCTTGTTTATTCTGCCCTAATGGTGGTTTTCAATTCTCTTGAATACATATGCCAACCTTATCTTTCATGCTTTTATGAATTACCGAATAAGTGAAATTATTCCGTATATTTTAAAATGGTTTCACCATTGGTCGTTTCATACGTGTGAAAGCTGAGCTTTTACGGCCCCCAGATTAATCTCCACTTGGCAGAACTTTCGGCTGTTTCCATATTCAATTCTGTAGATGTTTGAGATTAGCCAGTACACTTCCTACATTTTGGACAGAAAATGCATTTAACAGTGGCTTTTCCTCCCTGAACTCGATTTCACGGAGGCTGTACTGACTTTCCTTAGCATTGGTGCTATAATAAAAGTCCGTTTCCTTCCTTATGCTTACATCTAATTTTCGTCAGTGCTTTTATTCATACTACACCGAGGTGATTATCACTCGTGCTTACGAGAATGCGCCCAGGTGATATACTTCTGAGAAGTTATCCTTAGAATGAGGTGGTCTCTAAATTAAATTTCCTACCTCGAACCACTCGAGTCCAACCATGTTTGCTTTTCGTTTTTGCATCCGTTCTTCCATCTATTTTTGTGGTGGACAAAGAAAAACAATCCGATCTCATTGTTCTTGTTTGTGTAAAACAGTGAATTTCAACCGGCATAGTCCCATAAGCCTTGTGGTCAGATTAAAAAGGCGTATTTTGAAGATCATTTCTAAACCAATGCACGCTCCTTTTACAACTGTCATCATTCATATCGGCTCAAAAGCCGGAAAGTTTTATTGTTACTTCTGTGAGTATGTATGGCTCGGCATGCATAATCTGGCGTAGCATTGAAACGAAAGACACGCAACACCCCCATTGTTTGAGGCTGGAGTGTGTGCTAATGCCTTTACCCACTTTAATTTCCTGCTTTGTGGCAGGTTCGGTTCCTCTCATCTCTCTTGCTTCCACTAATGATATTCCGTCGGGCATAACTTTCCTCCATGTCAAAAACTCTATCATTTCATAGCGTAGCACGGTTTCGATGACTCATTTAAAACGTGGAGATGATTTGAACTTGCGGACTTGCCGCAGTGGTTGCTCATTCCTTGAATATATTCCTTAAGGTCAGGTTTCCTCCATGATTATGCGAAGTTTCTCCTTTATTTGCATCAACAGTGATGCTTCACAGTTCGGGAGCTCTCTCACTAGTAGCATAAATGGTTCTGAGCACATGGCATTCATTACTTGGCTGAGGTTTGCTGATAAAGCACTTTGGATAACTAGCTAGCTCGTTTATAGCCTTGCTCTTCCAAAAGTGCTGGTCAGCTTTGGCTCTCCTTGATGTCTGCGTGACAGTTTGAATGGAGGTAATTGGTTGAGGACGGAAATATTGGATGAGTTTGGTATTTTTAAACCGCTGACAAGTTATAGTCTCGCGCCTCATTACTGTACCCTCAGTCACGTCCTCTGGGTTGTCCTCTCAGAGGAATGGGAAGCATGATCTCTATCACTCAAATTTTACCTCCCTCCCCAAAAAAAAAATCTTCATTTTTTCCAATCTTAGAGTGAAACTGTTCCAACTTTTAACTTCAGACACAGTTCCTACAGCTTTTGTAATAGTTTTTTGAACACCTGAACACTACAGAATCAGGTGGTCAGTATGATAGTTCAACTTTGTTACCGATTTATGCATTTAACTGCACCCTAATAAATTTTGTCCAACTTTGTAGTTTGCATCAGTAAATTATCAAAATCGAATCTTGTTTGGTGACTGCATTCAAATAATGAGCAGGTGCACGAGATCCTGTTTTAAAGCATTACTGGAATCCGGAGCATATTAATTGAGTAGGCTGGATCCTACAAGTAGGAGTAAACAAACTTTCAAAATTTATATGCGTCATGGTGTGTATAGTTCAATGTTATTCGAGAATTCGTGACTCGCAAAGTGTTTAAACTACGGACCAAAGGTTTGCTGAATGGCAAAAATGGGCAGTTACTCATTAGCCGTTCATGAAAACTGTAGTACTTTGGATGAGCAAGTACCATTTCCGTTCTGCATGTTTGGGCCTCGGGATAGGCGTCTTCTGAGTTACCTTAAACCACAGTCTTGTGGAATTGCTGCGTGCTTCAACTGACATCAGTAAGTCCGTCTTTACCATTGCCACGAATGCCCTTCAATATGATGAAAACGGTTTTGTGATCGGGGGGAGTGGGTTTACACTGCTGAATAAAGGTTCTGTATTTGTCCCAACAACATTACATTCTTTTCGTTAAAACGTATGACGTGAAATCACCTGCCATCGTTGCCTCCGTTCAGGTGCTTTTAAGTCCTACTAATCCAGGTAAGCAAGTAAAAAATCTACCTCGGTTAGGTAAGCCGCTATTTTGATTACCAGTTGCTTAGGATGTTGAAGGAAAAGTACGTCAATTTAAAAAAAAAGAGAAAAACTTCACAGACGACTTTGAATGCTTGAGGTAAAAACGCTGCATTTATCTTTCCTTCAAGGTAATTTTCGTGAAAGGCTGGAACCTGGAGGGTCAGAAGGGAGGTGGCGGTAGCGGAGATACTGATCACTCGGCCGCAATTCAGCATAAAGTGATGATGTGCGTGAGACAGGGATGTGAGGTTGCATTGGCTACGGGCGGTCCGTCGCTGCGCTCGCCTGTCCTCGGCGTGGGTGTTCGCATTCGCCGCGTCGGTCAGCTGGCCTCCGCCCCAGTTGACAATTCATTCATAGAGTCCAACTTGACACGTCTACAGGTGCCACTCGCCTCACAGAGCTTCGCACCCTTCGCTGCCCTCCTCCGCTCTACTGTAATGAAAGCGCAGACTAAGGCATTGGCTAGTCTACCTGGATGGAGAATCATGGAGCCTGTCATGACTGTTGAGATCCAGATACCTGTTGATGATGGCAAGTCACAAAGACGATTTGCTCCAATTCATTTGCTAGTAGGGAGGGCGAGGAAACAGTAGTCGAACTCGTTCTAATGGATGTGTTAATCTGGTAGACCAAAACATTACATCTTGTTTTACTATTCCCTAAATGATACGCATAAATAGTGAGGTCGCTTACTTCTCCGCATTTATTGAACAATCTGGAGCAGAAACCTGTTGACTTTCTCATATTTTTCGACACTTCGGGTAAGCATGATAAAAAATCTTTGGGGTTTTCTCTTGGCGTTGCCAGATAGATTGAACTTTGCTATAGGTGTGCATATCTAGCGGTTTGCCACTGGAAGTGACTTTAGCGTAATATTGTTGCACTGTGATTACTTGGATTAGTTAAACTGAACTATTGTGTTAGTACATCATCAAAAAGTCTGCATCACTGACCGTGTTGTTGTTTTTTAACTATCTGAAGATTGTTAACCTTGTGTTACGTTTGGTTTCAATGTGGGGTTCCGAGATTGAGGCTTGTTTAGGGAATTTGGAAGTGGCATTATCTCTTACGCTACTTTTCATTCTCAGTATCTTGTCGAACCGAAAAATGGTGTCCACACCGAAGTTACGTGAACTCCAATTTCTTGTCCTTCGTTCAATCGCGGAGGAATAGCAGTTGTTTGGATTTACCAGCTAAAAAGGATACATAATTGATGCACACTGATGCTTTGTGGTGTGTTTTATTTGCATAGAAATAGGTGCTGAAAATATATCCAACTAGCGTTTCTAGCTGAAAAAAAAAATAAACAGTTTGCTGAAGTTTCCTAAAGCTTCCTTATAACTTAGCTCTGAGAAGCCTAGTGAGGTCACTTTGATTTGTTTCTAGCGTTCTGTTATCATTTTGAGAGTGATGGGCATCCACTGCGCCTTGTTTACTCCTTCAAATAGATGGGTTTGTATGCATCATTATTTGTCTCCAAGGTGTTAAGTGCGTACATTCCCCACCTGATGCCAAGGTGCATTTCACTTCTTTGAACTGTGTCTTAAATCGAATTCTACCATGGAATCCGTCTCTACCACTTTCTAAAGTAACCATCCATAGGCCTCCCTTTTTTTGCAAGTTAAAAATGAAGTAGACTAAGAGGTCTATTTACATTACGTTGTTTACTAACTCACTATATCCTCGTAACAGAGCATGAATTTGATGCGAACTTCACATTTATAAATGTTTCAGCCCAGCGCCACCCACCATCTCTTTTCCTACCCCACTTTTGTGTTCCACTTGTCTACTCCTTTTCATATGTAGCTGGGATTGCAGTGAGGAGTGATAGTCACTTTGGAGGACAATGGAGACATGTGGAAGATGTGAC